AWAAAAAAAWWMYAAWTTWAAWWAAAAAAYTTGCAGGTATCATGGCTATTTGAATTCATTGTTCTACACAGTGGTGGACAAAGGACTCAACTCTAGTACTTGAGTAAAAGTATTGATACTCTGGGTCAAATCTACTCAACTACAAGTAAAAGTTAGTCAAAAATCTACTCAAGTACTTACTTTTGAAAATACTTAAGTATTCAAAAGTACAAATTAAAAAGTCTAATATCAGTATATTGCTGTATTGTTTTCAGTGATTTTACAGAACCTTAACTTCCTTCCTAACTAACCTTAACCCACTTTGGGCACACCTGATTTAAACTGATACAAACTATTTTTCAGTCCTAAAATCTCAAACATGGAGCTGAGAAAAGGTCATGGGTGCACTGGTTTCTCTGCTCTCTTCAACCATCTCCATTGCTGGGTTCTGTTTGAAATGAAGGTGGAGATCAGGATCACAACCGTTAATGAAGATGATGTAGTTCCAAATCCATCCCAGGTGTGAGCTACGACTGTGAATGGTTCCTCTTGTGAGGAAAATGTTGTGTGGCCAAACGCATTTCAAGAAAGAAAAACGGCAACTGCTGATTACAAAACTACGCTGAACCAAAAGTAACAACTAACAAGCTTCCTGCAAATGTAGTGGAGTAAAAAGTACAATATTTGTCTTTGAAATGTAGTGAAATGAAAGTCATAAGTACCCCAAAAATAATCACTCAAAGATACACAAAAAATGTACTTATGTACAGTACTCAAATAAATGTACTCCATTACTGTCCACCACTGGTTATACACACATATATACACACACACAAAAAAATAGACAGGGTTACAAAGGAAACTCTTTTACTCATTTCCAGTGACACAATTGTGCAAATCAGGATTTTTTTTTCTTTTCAAAACAGGAAAAAAATAAAATAACTGAAAACATCAACAAAAGGACGACAAAATGAATGTAAGCTTATCCACACAGCATGACACATGCATTACCTTTTTATGACTAAGAGGGGAAATGAACAGTGACGCACCCTTCTTAGTCAAGTTTCTGGTCATTTCATCTTGGCCTGGACATTTTCAAAGAGCTAAACTCTGACTCCATTCAAAACCTACGTCATTCACTTTAACTAAAAGTACTTAGAGTTCTGAGTTTTCACATGAACCGATGACATGAATATAGTGTTGTGCCACCAGTCAGTAGTTGAGTTAGAGTTGTAACCAAAATCTTTGGATTTGAAATTTCTATTCACACATGTAGACATCTATGTTTGGTCTATTAGTTTGTCTACACTAATAATCCAAGTTACACCCTACGTCTTTTAGGACAAAAAAAAGAGAAAAATACTCACTGGATCAATAACTAAAATGGCAATTCTGGCATTTGTATTTTGTGTTTGTAGCATCAAAATTCACCCATTACTTCTGTAAAGGTGCAGTTCTATGCAAATGACAAGAGAGCATTCAAATTACAAGAATCTTAAAACATGTTTTTGAAATACAATTGGATTTTTCTGTATCGTGGGATTTTTCAAAAGTTTGACGTTAAATTCCAAAGCAGTACGTTGAGAATGATAAGTTAGAAATTCAGTTCAAAACTCATATTTTACTAGATTTTTGGTGAAAAAAACTGAAAAAAAATGCAGCAGGCTCTAAAACCAAAGTGCAATATGTTAATTTAAATGTCCAGTGTTGTTTTTTTTAATGAAAACAAAAGCTGGAAAAGGAATGATGACCCACATCAGTCAGTGAGTTTGTCAATGGTCTTTTTTTTTCCTCAAGCAGTAAATTATCTCTACAGCCAGTTACCAACAATACAAAAGTATAAATTATACTGCTACAAATAATAATAGTAATAATAATAATACTAAAAAACAATTGTAGTGATATCTAAACAAAATATGACTCAAAAATATAACAAACCAGTGTACAGGTTACTGTCCTATACAGCAACATAGGCAGTACAAATATAATTCAAGTCTAATATATTAGGATAAGCAAGAAATGCAGCATTTATTTATATAAAAAATACACTAAACTCACTTTGGGCTGTTCTGGGAAGACTGGATTTTTTTTTACAGACCTGCGGGAATTAAAGCAACATAAACTGCATCAATACAGATGCGTGAAGCACTCCGTTAACCTTTTTTAAAAATGTTCTTAGGCAACAACAAGTTCTTGGTCAGTCTCCCCGACTTCCTGAGCTGCGAACCAGTCTCGCACTTGCTGGTAGCTCATTCTTGATTTCTTGCATAGTAAGTCCAGGTCTTTTTCATGCAGTGAGCCCGTTGTGAGATAATACGACAACAAAGGTTGGATATCAGGAGAATCCGTACTTGGTCTACTAGATTTCCGTTTGCGGCCACCCCCTGCCCGAGCGGCCGGCCCGCTTCCGTTTGTCAACCCGCTGCTGCTTTGCTGAGCAGCGAGCTCTGCCAAGAACTGATCGCGAACACCCTTCACCCAGCGAAGTTGGCCATTTTTTACAGCGTACCGCGTGTCACCAAACCACTGAATCACGTCAGCTCTGGGTAAGCCTGTGAGCTTAACGAGTTCTGTGTAATGTTCACTTGTGGGCCACTGGCACTGCAGGAAGTGCTGCTTCAACACGTCCAACTGCTCCTTGGTCTTTCTCGGTCGTCCCGCAGGAGTGAGGGCAGGAGACGTAGACGTGGAGGCTCCAGAGAAGCACGTGGACGTTTGTGAGGGACTGGTTTTGGATGAATGGACCGATTTCTTTGATGTGCGGATCTTGGGTGAAAGTGGTTTGCTAGGAGGTGGACTCGCAGAGGGGGAGGAACAGGGAGAAGACTTTACTTCTTGGACATCTGGCTCGATTATGAAGTTCTTTGTTAATTGTAAGGGCTGTTCTTCGTCTTGCTCTTCTTCTTTAAAGCTGTCTCCATCTCCGGAAAGCTCCTCCTTGACTTCAAGCTCCTGTGTCTCATGGATCCGTTCTCCAAACGCTTCGAGGCTGTTTGACAAAAAAGTCTGAAAGAAGTGCGAATTTCTAATGCCATTGTTGCGCGTTCCCTCCTGACCTTTCACCCCGTTCACCTGACGAGACTTCAAACTAGTAAGTGAGAGAGGCTGAGATGGTGGGTCATGTTTACCCCCAACAGCAGCTTGGGGAGTATAGTTCTGAGCTGCTGCCAGGCTTCCTCTGCCGACTCTCAGCTGGTAACGGCTGTCGCTGAACCATTTCCGGATGTCATTTCGAGTCAGGCCGGTTTCTTCCTGCAAACGTCTCAGCTCCGTCTCTGCGGGCCAGTTCTCCCTCAAAAAACTTTTACGCAAGGCTGCCAGCTGAGCTTTGGACTTTTTGTAGCGTCCGTGACGGTTCTGTCGGGAAGACGAATCCGACAGGTCGAGGGAGACGTCGGCTGCTGTAGACGCTGGAGCACCTGCAGGCGAACGGTAGAAGTATGAATCCTCAGGGGGTGGAAGAGTGGAACTGAAACAGGGGGGAGTCGATCTGTAAGTATCTGTGGACTGATGTTTCGACTTCTTTGTCGGGGGAACGAAGCTGGTGAGAGCAGCCTCGTCGTCCTCGACGTCTTTTCCCTCACTTACAAATTCAACCGAACTTCTGCTCTTTAATTTAGCGTCATTTTTTTCAGTTGAGTCRTCACTAACTTCCGGCACCGCCAGCTTTTTCCTCGTCTCCTCGATTTCCTCTGAGGACCAGCTAATTCCATATTTAATTCTCTGCACCATAAACCACACTTTGACTTTGTCCAACGGCAAGGCACATACTCGGGCAAGTACGCCGACCTCCTTGGATGATGGGTACGGAAACAAGTTAAAAGCATGGACCAGCTCTGGGATTTCGTCGAGTTCTCGGGTCTGATCGGACTGCGTCCACACTAGCTTGAGCCCCTCTGAAACCAGAGGCAGGCACACAACAGAGTTGTGGTTGGTGGTGAAACTCGTCACACCGCTTGCATTGCTTTCGTCTGAGTTGACAGAGTGGTGCAGTTTCTCTGAAGAGCTCATCTTTTCATATTCAGTTTCTTCGATTTCAATAGGTTCATCTATGTCCACAAGTAGTACATCTATGCCATTATGTTCAGCGGATGCCATCTGAGCCATCAAAGGTTGTCCTGCCACCTAAAAAAGAACACAAAAGCAGTGATAAAAGTTTTGCTTATCTTCTGACACACTGTTTCAACTCCGTAGATAAAACGGACAATCTATTAGGAACTTTCTGTTCCTTATTCATTCTCCAAGTCAAGTTATCTGACAACTCTCTCCTTCCTTTTCTTCTCCTCACTCAAAACTACCAATAAAGCCAGTCGTATACGCTGCCGAGACTGACTCTCCCCTCCCCCAGAGCGTGGTGAATGACTTTTGTTTTGCACGAGTGGGTGGTGGGGGATCGGTCCCAAAAGGGTGGGAACGCAGGGAACGAAAATCTACAAGGAATCCATCACTGTCTACTCTCTCACCTTCCTGGTCCCGCTTTGCTCTACTTCCAAGTTCTCAGCCTTGAAATATTTGCACGGCTGCCTCACGAGAGACGCCGCCCGCAACAGAAACCTGTAGAAAAAGAAAATGAAACAAATCATTAAATCATCTTATTCCAATAAAAATACATTGATTCCTTACGCAACAGGTGCCAAAATCAACCCATCAACACACTATATTGATTTGTTTGTTTTTTTGATGTCCCCTTAATCTCAAAACTCAGGTGTTACAAACTGGTGTGCTCTTTATTCTTATTCTGTCAGGGTCTTTATGTATTCCTAAAAGCAAAAGTACTGAGCATGTAGTTGGAAGGTTACGCCATGACCTTAGCCGACTATTTAAGTAGCTTAAATCACGACTGAAATGTTTTTGAGCAACACAAACATTACCCAACTAATCACTGTGCTGGTCACTGGTGACACACTAAAACCCCCATGCGTGAGCTCGTGGGCAATCCCCTCAGATTCTGTATTTTTCCTCAGTGTTGTACATCAGATAATTTGGGGGGGGGGGGTGTATATTTTTAATTCAACAAAAACCTTTAAAAGTTGCTCAGTGTGCCAGTTAACAAAAGCTATCCAGTCAGCGTGCCCCCCCTCCCCTCTTTGTGGCGTACTAACTAAAAAAGGCTGCACTCCGCACAGGCGCACTTCGTCCTCAGACACGCTTCAGTGAAACGTTAAAAATAAACTTACCCGAATTTCCTAAATATTCCCGTAATCCCACGCGTCCGTTTCGAAACGAACCTCCGGACGCTCAGAAGTTGCTCGCTCCCACCTGCTTACATATACGGCCCAAGTTTTGGTTACAGACCGAGGAAACAATGCCGTCCATCTGTTTGTTTGACCCTTGTCTTTATTTATCAAGCTTCTCGACGGATTACGGTCGGGATTCAAAGGCGACCAAGTTTGTGTCCCCTCAGGAGTTCAGTCGCTGGTTACTTCTCGCCAAGAACACGAAAATCTAACCCTGGAGATTAAAAAAAAAAAAGAGGGGGAGTCGAGTCGCCGTTTTTATTCCTGCCCCCCCTCGGTCGGTCCGTTGCTGCTTTTGTTCTTAAGTGAGAAGTGTTTCTCCCTGTCCGGCCAAATCGACGCGAGGCGGAGCTGAGGACCAGGAAGCCCAGAAGGCCACATGACTCTCCCCCTCAGTGACGGCTGGGCGGGTGGGTGTGCCAGTCTGCATGAGGAGGCCGGGGATTGGAGGGAGTAAAGGCCAGTATCATAAATCCATTACAGTTGGCCAGTGTTAACTGTCTAGCATCATGACTACAGGCTGGCATGAAGTTATCCCGAGAAACTGGAGCGCCTTCACCAACCAACACTTTGTGGGGGGGGACTCCTCTTGTAGCGACTCACCAACACATCTTTGGATCAAACTCATTATAAAATAGAGGAAAAACTCGTGGATGCCAGTTCAGAAGCCGAAAGAGTTCAATGATAAGCAATATTCTGCTTACAAACAAATCAGGAGCTATGTTTTATTACAGCCACAACTTTAAAGACAATAACTTTCATCTTCAAATAAAATATAAAACTGATGGGCAGATCAAATGGTTCAAATCAGGGGTTCTCAAGCCATTTGGGTTTGGGGACCCCTTACAGTGGGTGGGGGGGGGGGAATAATCCAGGGACCCCCTTATAAACCTCGTGCTGTTTTAAAATATGATTTATTGTCATTTCAACCCCTGATTGCCATGGGAGTATATATTTTTATTAAGTTTATTATGTTTGTTTTATCATTGCTCTCAATGCATTTAAAAAAAATTAACAGTTTAGTAAAATTTTTTGAGGACCCCCAATATTCCTCTCGCTGACTCCTAGGGGTTCTGGGACCCCAGTTTGAGAACCTCTGATTTAAATAATCTATAATCAAATACTGCCTAAGAAATTGATCTCATGATTTATATAAAGGCACTTTCAGTTTCCAAGTAATGTAAAGCAGTGTTTTCCAAAGTCAGGGTCGGGACCCAAAGTGGGGTCCCGAAACATCAAGGTGGGGTCCTGAAAAGATTTTTTGAATTAATTACAATTTTGCCTTAGTTGTTACAAAGGATTGAGGTTTGTATTTTTAAAATGGATAAATGTAGTATAAAAATATTGTTACTGTGCCCATGTTTAATTTACCTGATACAAATGGTTATCATCAAAAATAGCTGGGGGCACAGGTCTCTGCTACTGTTATTTTTTGGGTCAAAAGCTGAAAGGTTTGAAAACCACTGCACTTTGGTTCCCAAAGTTGGGCTTGGGACCCAATTATGGGTCATGAAGCACCTTGGATAATCTCCAGAAATGGGTAATAAAATTGCTGATGTAATATTTTCCCTATAACTATTACAAAAACACAAAAATAAGTGCAAATAAGTATTTATATTTGTGTACAAGCTGTTTAGATTGTCAAAAGCCTGTGTTTTTAGGGTTATTAACGAAGTTCGTGTACTCAGACCAGTAATATTCAGGGTCACAAGTTTTTGCCATGAATATTTTGTGGGTCAGAAGATAAAGAGTTTGGGAACCACTGATGTAAACATCCAGGAAGGCTCAAATGCACACACACACACACACACACACACACACACACACACACACACACACACACACACACAC